TACAATCTAACATTTTTGAAGTGAAACTTCTTCAGGCTCCTCTACTACAAATTCCTAAAAAGTTTATATTTTGTGAACACAAACCGCATAAAAAAGTTTTATACCTCAATTTTAAAAAATTATCAATGAATTTTAGCATTCTAATATTTTATTTTAAGCAATGAAATATTAACGTTTTTTCACAATACAATAATTTTTTTTTGTAAAAATCGTCTTCTACTCGTTGAGACCTTTTAAACGATACCCAACATGCAATAAAAGATACAATTTAAATTTTTTGAAGTAAAACTTCTTTAGACTCCTCCGCTACAAATTCGTGAAAGGTGTATATTTTGTGGACAAATCACGTAGTTTATTTCGGTATTCGAATTGCATTCGAAAAGACCTTTTATACGATAACCAGCATAACAAAAAACACTATTGAATTTTTTAAGTAAAACTTCTTTAAGCTCGCTTGGTACAAATGCATTAAAAGATAATTATGTTGACGTAAATAGAATAGAATAACAAAAGAATAATGTATATTGTGTGAGAGAGACAAATAGTGACATATAGAGATGAATATTGTATAGAGTGTCATTAGAAACAATAAACGAGTGATTCAAGATGAGGTGTGTTAATAAAGTTTTTATTACAATATAATCGTTTTTTTCGTTTTCTACTCATCGAGACCTTTTAAACGATACCCAACATGCGATAAAACCTACATTCTGAAATTTTTGAAGTAAAACTTCTTTAGACTCCACAGCTACAAATTCGTATAAATTGTATATTTTGTGGACAAACCACATAGTTTATTTCAGTATTCGAATTCTATTCTAAAAGCCCTTTCAAACGATACCCAACATGTCAAAAAAATACAATCTATATGTTATTGAAGTAAAACTTCTTTAAGCTCGCTTGGTACAAATGCATTAAAAGATAATTATGTTGACGTAAATAGCATAGCATATGAATGGAATAACAAAATAATAATATATATTGTGTCAGAGAGACAAATAGTGACATATAGAGATGAATATTGTATAGAGAGTGTCATTAGAGACAAACGAGCGATTAGAGACGAACGAAGTTAACAATTACATAATATTATTATTTATAATTCAGTAATATTTGTTTTTTTGAAAAAAGGTTAAGCGTCTTGGTGGAAATCCTTTAATGGAAGCTGTACTTGATGATTTGTTGAATTGGAAAAGGCAAAATGGAGATGGCAACAAACAAAATGCATAAATTATTGAAATAAACAATCTCGAATATTTTTCATGTCCTGATTTTTAATATAAATCCTTACAAAGTATATATTTATAATCATATATATATATATATATATATATATATATACATTTTATATATATATATATATAATAATAATTATATATAATAATATATATATATATATATATATATACCAATTTGTTTGCATGTATGTTTTTTAATATGTTAAATCAATTTTTGAATATACCTAAGTATGTATGTTTTTTGCATGTACATTTTTCTTTATCAAATAAATACAAAATTGAATCCAAGACAATTAATATGCCTAATGCAAATTTTCCCGACTAATTATAACAATTAGCATTTACTAGTATATAATAGTTTGATGATTTTTATTTCTAGTATTTAATTAAAATAAAAAATAAATCAGTCAATTCGTAGTGATAAATTATTTATATAAATATATATGAATGTAATCGTTAGGGCTTTTTGCATGTGATAAAACAATAATATGAATTTTGTGTTTCTAGTTTAATGATGATGATTATTTATTGACAATAATTATTGTACTGTATTTATTGAATAAAAGTCTTGTATATTTAAATATACACTCAACCCTGAATTTTCCCTTCAAAGCCTTATAATTGTGAAAATCATTTTTGTATTTAATTTATTCGTCAGCTGGCTTGATAACTAATTAGTTATAATGCTGAATTTTTACCCTTGTAGGAATTATTCATCAAGTAGATAATATACAAGACATGATTGTCAATTTAAATAAGATAATTATGTTAAGCATATAACAATATATATATATATATATATATATATATATATATATATTTTATAAAATTAAAGAAAGTACTCACCAATTGCACAACATAACCTCCAAAACATTCTACAAATGTTATATACTTAATTTGGACACAAATTGCACATTAACACAATAAACACACAACTTTAACGTTAAACAGCTTTTTTTTGCACATTTTGAGATATTAATAATAAATAAAAAATGAAAAAACACTAAATCAGGTGTTGAAGTAAATGTTTTCCATTGACTACATTAAATAGTTTTTTTTTCGTTTTGTAATATATAATTTTAATTATAAATAAATTCTTATTATATATATATATATATATATATATATATTAAATGCTTAATTAGATACATTTCTTATTTAATTTACTAAAATGCAAAGAAGTAACCTTACAATATCCTAAGACACCCAGTTTTTATTTCTGACACTATTTCCAAATATTTTACACTCTTTTACCTTAAACATAAAAGTTTAACTTTAAACAGCACTTTAAGCATATTTTAATGCCTCAGCAGTCAATAGATATTTAAAAAAACACAAAATTATTCGTTAAATTAACAAGCATGCTGTTTGTGGTTATGTTTTGAGATTTAAAAATGTCGCAACTGCTTAAAAGATAATTATAAGTAGTGTTGCCAGCGCAATTAAAATGGCGGAAAGGCGGGAAATTCAAAATGGAAAATGATAAATACGAAATAAAAATTATAAAGCTTGTTTTACAAGGTTTCAAAATTAGTTATATATTTATATGTAATTATATGATGACATAATTATATATAAATATATATTTTTATTACAATCTATGATACAACAAAATCAAAATCAGCTATATTATGTATACAACTTTGCTTCCGCCGTTTTTACTATACAAATTCTTTACAATAAAGGCAAAAACCAAGATGTATGCTTTAAAATGCGTTTTAAAGTATACCGAGTTGCTGTAGAGTGAAATAATGTTAGACAACATTGTTAATTATTCAATTTTAAATACATTTCCCAAATACATCTTTCAAATTAAACGAACAGTTTAGAAGTCACAAGCATTAAAATAAAAATGTGTACTGGGTATACTGAATTCCAGTATCAATCATGTATCCATTATTACTTTAAAATCTCTATTAAAATTAATATAATACAAAAAAATAATTATTGTACCTAAATACCAACTATTCACTATCTCTTTTTCTGGCTCAGTATCTTTTTACTTTCCTCTCTCCTACGTTTGGTCAAAGGATTTCTTGGGTCATATATTTCAAACCAATCGTCACCTTTTGTAGAAGCATCCTTTGCCAACACTGCTCCTTTATCCTCAAACCTGAAGAAATAAAAAATATAATAATAATAATAAAATAAAGGTTACAAGTTTTAGAACAAAGATATTAATTTTAAATAATACATAAGAATTAATCAATAAGAACTAAAAACAAAGAAATAAGAACAATAATTCACAATTTGTATATATAAGTTGCAAAGGTAATTAAAATTTGTCAGCATTATTATTCATTTAAATAAATTACTGTATTTGTTCATAAAAAATATTACTTTAAAGGTTTTACAAATATTTAATATAGTTGTAGTGATTATTCTACTTACTGTAATTTATGAGATAGCCATGATTCATCATTATCATCATCATCTTCAATATTATCGTTTTTCTTATCATCTGTAAGTTCATCTGAGCTTTTCTCTCTTGCAGCCGTCATTTTCTTTTGAAACTTTGCTAACAAATTCAAGGTGAATTCCTCTCTAAAAAATACAACAATTTATATATATATATTATATATATATATATATATATATATATATATATAGATATAAATTTATATATCAGGTGAGTCCATTTATTACCTGGAGGCTCCCTTTTTTGGTATAGCTTGTGTCAACTTCTTATAATTTTCCTGTTCCTCATGAAAACTGTCGACAACTTTCTTCTTTTTGGATTTTTCCTCCTCTTCCTTATCTTTCTTTTTATCTGCCTCCAATCTAGCCTTTTTTTCATCCGAGATGCCTTTTTTGAGATCCCGGTATTCTTTACGAATTTCTTCTCTAAAATTAATAAATGAATTTATATTGTTATTGCCCGCTGCACACCCCTTAAAATTGAATCAAAATATTCAGTTCATCGTTTCTGGTTACATTTTTTTTATATTTCGCTAAATTTCTCGAATAATTTATTCAAACATGTACGTATTATTATATATCAATGGAAAGTAGATAAAATTATCCATAAATCTTTGTATAACAATCTAAATCGTTTAGAACAAAGTTTTATTTAAAAAATTGGCTAAATTTCAAAATTGATTACTGAGCCTAAAGGTGTCGGAGTTTCGGGTTGCATTTTTTATATTTCGCTTATTTTTTTTTTCAAAAAATTGTTCAAACATGTATATATCATTGTACATTTTTAAAAAGTAGATAAAATTATTTATAAATCTGCATATAACAATCTAAATCGTTTGGAACAATTATTAAAATTTTATTAAAAAAATTGACTGAATTTTAAAATTGATTACTGAGCCTAAGGTGTCGAGATTTCGGGTAGCATGTTTTTAATTCGATTAATTTCGTAAAGAATTTGTTCGAACATGTATATATTATTATATATCATTAAAAAGTAGATAAAATTATCTATAAATCTTGTTATACACTTTCAATCGTTTGGAACAAAGATTTATTAAAAAAATTGACTAAATTTTAAAATTGATTACTGAGCCTAAGGCTGCGAGGTTTCGGTTTGCATTTCTTTTATATTTCGATAAATTTCTCAAATAATTTATTGAAACATGTATATATTATTGTACATTATTAAAAAGTAGATAAAATTATCTATAAATCTGTATATAAAAATTCAAATCGTTTGGAACAAAATTATATAAAAAAAAACTAATTAAATTTTAATATTTAATGCCGAGCCACTTGTTTAAACTAAAATGTCGAGTTGTCTGTTTACAATTTTTTATATTTCGATCAATTTCGCAAAGAATTTGTTTAAACATGTATATACTATTACACATTTTTGAAAAGTAGATAAAATTATCTATAAATCTGTGTGTAACACTTTAAATCGTTTGGAACAAAATTATATTAAAAAAATTTATTAAACTATAACATTCAATACAGAGCCGCTTGTATAAACTAAGATATTAAGCTGGTTACATTTTTTCATTTGCCATCAATTTTCTCAAAAAATCGTTTAAACATGTATATATTATTGTACATTTTTAAAAAGTAAATAAAATTATCTGTATATAATAAATTAAGACGTTTAGAACAAAATTATATTAAAAAAATTGATTAAATTTAGTAAAACTGCAAGCAAAGCAAGGCAAAAATGTACAACAATATGTATATTGATTATTATATATTTAATTAAATATTTATAAAATTGCTTACGCTTTTCGTTTCCTTTCATCTTGCTTATCTTTACCAAGATAATAACTAGTCGTTGGTAACTTCTTCTTATTATCTGTTTTTGATTTTAATTTATTCCTAACAAATTCTGTAGTCAATTTGTTTTCATCTTCTTCATTACGATCTTCCTCATCACTCTGGTCATCACTTAAATATTCTTTTTCATCATTTCTGCAATAAATGATATTTTTACATTTTAAAGAGCTCTTCAGGATGGTACTGAAGTTGTGTAATTTTGGTATTTTGTTCTTCAATATGTCTATTATGTCTACAAATAATAAAATTGATGTGTCGGGAACAAAATATTTGAGTAATTTATGTTTTTGCCTAGAATTGCACACATAAGTTACTTGTATTTTCAACGAGCTCTGCAGGACGAAGTGTTTGCACTAGAGTTTTGTAATTTTAGTATTTTGTTCTTCAATATGTCTACTTTGATACTATATACTAAAATTGGCGAGTCCCGAAAAAAATTATAACTAAAAAATATTTAAGTAAAAATTACACTGAAGATATTCGTATTCGTTGAGATAATTGGAACTACTGGTATGAGATAATAAAACAAATGTTTGATTTTAAAGAGCTCTTCAGGGCGCACAAGTAGTTCTAGAAGTTTGTAACTTTGGAATTTTGTACTTCAATATGTCTACTTTTAGACGAAAATATTAAAAGTGATAAATTAGGAATAAATCTTGCAGATAATAAATATTTTTGTTTAAAAAAAAAAATTTTCCTTCACTAACATTTTACAGATATTTGTATTTCAAGGAGCTCTTCAGGACGTACTGATGGTACTAGAGTTTTTGGTATTTAGGTATTTTGTTCTTCAATAAGTCTATTATGACTACAAATAATAAAATTGATGTGTCGGGAATAAAATATTTGAGTAATTTATGTTTTTGTCTAAAAATACTCACAAAGTTAATTGTATTTTCAACAATGAAATAAAACGAATATTTGTTTCCAAAGAGCTCTTCAGGATGCATTGATGGTACTAAAATGTTAAAATTTGGCTATGTTGTACTTGAATATGTCTAGTTTTATTTTACATAAAAAAATTTAAAATTTCAGAATAAAATATTTGGTAAATTAAGGATTTTAGCTAGAAATACACATTGATTATATTTTTGTTTTAACGAGCTCTTCAGGACGTACTGTTAGTACTAGAATGTTGTATTAAGGGTATGTTATACTTGAATATGTCTACTTTATTAACAAATACTAAAATTGATGACTCTTGAATTAAATAAGCAACTATATAAACATACTAAAGAAATTGGTATTCGTGTAGATAAGATATAAGATTCATATATAGATTTTGAAGAGCTCTTCAGGACGTACTGATGATAACAGAATGTTGTAACTTTTTTATTATGTACTTCAATATGTCTTTTGTGACTACAATTAATAAAATTTGTAGGTCTAGAATAAAATATACGGGTAATTATTGTTTTTGTCTAGAAAAACATGCTATAGTTGATTTTTTTGGTCAAAATTTGTAATTCAACGAGCTCTTCAGGACGTGGTGTATGTACTAGAGTGTTGAAATTTGGGTATGATATACATGAATATGTCTATTTTGATAGCAGAAACTAAAATTAGCAAGTCCCGAATAAAAAATTATGACTGATAAATATTTAAGTAAAAAATACACAAAAGATATTGATTGGGACAATTGGGTATGAGGTAATAAAACGAATATTTGTTTTCAAGGAGCTCTTCAGGACGTACTGTTAATACTAGAAAGTTGTATATTGGGAATTTTATACTTGAATATGTCTACTGTAATAACAAATACTAAAATTGATAAGTCTTGAACAACAAATATAAGAAATTAAATAATTAACTAGATAAACATATTAAAGAAACTGATAATGTATTTATATATAGATTTTGAAGAACTCTTCAGGACGTATTGATGATAATAAAATGTTGTAACTTTTTTATTATGTACTTCAATATGTCTTTTATGACTACAATTAATAAAATTTGTAGGTCTCTGAATAAAATATATGGGTAATTATTGTTTTTGTCTAGAAAGCTATAGTTGATTTTTTTAGTCAAAATTTGTAATTCAATGAGCTCTTCAGGACGCAGTGCTTGCACTAGAGTGTTGAAATTTAGGTATGATATACATGAATATGTCTACTTTGATACCACAAACTAAATAAATAAAATAGACATACTATTATGATAAAAAATACTAAAATTGATAAGTCTTGAACAAAAAATATAAGTAATTAAATAATTAACTAGATAAATATACCATAGAAACTGATAATGTATTTATATATAGATTTTGAAGAGCTCTTCAGGACGTATTGGTGATAATAAAATGTTGTAACTTTCGTATTATGTACTTCAATATGTCTTTTATGACTACAGTTAATAAAATTTGTAGGTCTCAGAATAAAATATACGGGTAATTATTGTTTTTGTCTAGAAAAACATGCTATAGTTGATTTTTTTGGTCAAAATTTGTAATTCAACGAGCTCTTCAGGACGTGGTGTTTGCACTAGATTGTTTAAATTTGGGTATAATATACATAAATATGTCTATTTCGATAGCAGAAACTAAAATTAGCAAGTCCTGAATAAAAATTTAAAATTAATCGATATTTAAGTAAGAAATACACTGAAGATAATGGTTGGGATAATTGGAATTCGCGGTATGAGGTGATAAAACAAATGTTTGTTTTCAAAGAGCTCTTCAGGACGTACTGATGGTACTAGAGTGTTGTAATTTAGGTATGATATACATGAATATGTCTACTTTAATACCACAAACTAAAATTGGTAAGTCCTGAATAAAAAAATATGACTGATAAATATTTAAGTAAAAAATACACAAAAGATATTGATTGGGATAATTGGGTATGAGGTAATAAAACGAATTTTTATTTTCAAGGAGCTCTTCAGGACGCACTTATAGTACTAGAAGATTGTAATTTTAGTATTTTGTACTTCAATTATTTTGGACCAAAATATTAAAAGTGATAAATTAGGAATAAATCTTGCAGATAATAATATTTTTGTTTAAAAAAAAATTTTTCCTTCACTAACATTTTACAGATATTTGTATTTCAAGGAGCTCTTCAGGACGTACTGATGGTACTAGAGTGTTGTAATTTAGGTATGATATACATGAATATGTCTATTATGATAAGACATAATAAATTTGCTAAGTCTTGAACAAAAAATATAAGTAATTAAATAATTAATTAAAAAACACACACTAAAAAAGCAATATCTCATAAGAAACAAAATGGCAATATTTTACATAAATCAATATTAATAAAAATCTTACCTTTGTTTAGAAGTTTTGCTGCTTTTCTCACTAATATCAACTGCAGGTGTACTATCAAGCGTAGGATCATTCTTTAACATATCATGAGAAGATTTACCTTTTGTAGAATATTTCTGATTAGCACTTGTACTTTCAAATTCATCTTCTTCTGCTTCTTCACCAAAGGATAATAATTTAAAGTTTCTAAATAGAAAAAATACTATGCATAAACATATAAATATATATATATATATATATATATATATATATACATATATATTTATATATCAATTCCCTCACTTGACTCCTTTCTTCTTCTCCTTAACCTTAACAGGTTCCTTAAACTCAAATTCCTTACTAACCCTCGGCACGATATCCGAAAAAGGATTATTCAATATTTCAACCTTCAAAATCTTTTGCGGGTACATAGGTCTTTCATCGTCATCAGTTTCGCATTCTTCTAACTTCAACATATTGAACAAAGTCTCTCCAGTGACTTTACCGAATATCGTATGCTTGTTTTGAAGTTCCGGAGTAGCTGCCAAGGTGAAAAAGAATTGGGACCCATTGTCATCTTTTCCTGCATTTGCCATTGCAAGAAGACCACGTCTGGCAAATCTGAGACGCTGGTGGAACTCATCCTGAGAAAAGAAACACAATATTGATTTGGTTTGTGTAATTGGTTTTTGATTTGTAGTTCACCTTGAAAGGTTCTCCATAAATCGATTCGCCTCCAGTGCCGTCACCATTGGGGTCTCCTCCTTGGACAATAAATCCTTTAACAACTCTGTGAAATATTGTGCCATCGTAATAACCTTCCATACAGAGTTGTATGAAGTTTCTGCATGCTTTTGGAGCCTCTTTTGCCCATAGTTCTACATCGATGTCACCTACTGTTGTTTTTAGCAAAACCTACAAAGAAATAAATAGATTTATGAGAAACTAACCTTTAAATATACAATGCAAACAAAAACGCTTAATTATGAGTATAAATAAATTATTTATTACCTTTCCTGACGTCGGAGGCTCTTGTATATAAATACTACTCATTTTGCACTAATTTATTAAATATATACAAAAATTCTATTAGAATAAGTTAAAATTTTAATTAGAGTTAACCACACACAAATAAAGTATTATTATTATTTAATAATTCATAATATATTCAATTCTTTCAGGTATTTTTACACAATTTAAAGAAATCGTAAAGGTTAAGTTTTGACATTTGTAAACATCTTGACAGTTTTTAATCAAAATGGCGCCATATTCAAAAATGTTTAACAATAAATTTGTTTAAGTTAAAAACTATGTGCAAGAATTTAATAAATGATAAATTATATTAATTAAATTACACATAAGCTACAATCTAACTTGTATTTAAATCTATAACATATTTAAATAAATATATAAATTTTTGGATATATTCTTGAGTTTGCAAAAATGGCGCCAAATTCAAATGCTAATTTAAATTATTATATAAACAAATATTAATAGCATTTTAATATAATAATATTGTTTAATTATTTTTACAAATGATGAATTATATTAAAACAATCACATATAAACTACAATTCAAGTTATTTCTAAATCTATAACGTATTTAAATAAATATATAAATTTTTGGAAATATTCTTGACAGTTGCAAAAATAACGCCAAATTCAAATACTAATTTAAATATTATTAGTTTTTTTTTTATATAATATTATTGTTAATCAAAAATCATATATTACATTTCTATTATTTTATTAATCATTAACATATCAAATAAAAATTTAATATATCAAATATTTTCACATTTTTATTAATTATTTTAAAAATTTTATTGAATGTCAATCAGTTTTCAATCAAAATGGCGTCATATTCAAAAATTAAAAATGTAAATTAAAAACACATGTAAAATATTTAAGTAAATGGTTGACTATATTAAAATCACATATAATTCATAATTCAACTTATTTCCAAATCTATAACATATTTAAATGCATATATAAATTTTTGGAAATATTCTTGACAGTTTGCAAAAATGGCGCCAAATTTAAACTAAAATTTAATTTTTTTTAATAGTTTTTTAATTCAATAATATTTATAATCGTAAATCATATAATCCATTTCTATTATTTTATTAAACAACAATATATCAAATGTAAACATAATATATCAAATTTATATCATATATCAAATGTTTTCAAAATTATTTAAATAAATAAATGGCGCTAAATTCAAATGTATTCTACAAAACAATTTTAAATCAATAATATATAAACAAATATTTTGAGCATTTTAAGTTGAAAATCAAATAAAGTTTATTGAATGTAAGTATATTATATTACATACTATAGTTGTACAAATAAATAAATAAAATAAATAATAATAAACATACTAAAATTATAAATTTGATTCATTTTTGAATTATTGACAAAATTTTAATATTAAAATAATAAAGCTACAAAATTAAATAGTACTAAACAATTTTGTTTTTAAATAAACTTAAAATAAAAATAAATTTGTATAAAATTACAGAACAATTTATCATTTTTATATCAATGGCACAAATAATTAATATATTTACTAAAATTTAAACTTACAAACCGACAAACTTAAATTATTATAAATACATAATTATTTCATGATCGAATTATACAACAACTTGATCATCGTGAATAACTTAAATAAATAAACTTAATATATATTATTACAATAATTATTTAACTGGCACTTTGTATCAAGTATCAAACGTTTCAGAATGTCTTGAAGCGTCTAAAAAACATAAACTTCTTTGCGAAGTTAAAAACCGCAACTTATCAAATTTACATTCTTTAACGTAACTGTTATGAAACAGAGTTACGTTAATACAACGTAATTTGAATACGTTACGTTAATACAATGTAACAGAAATACGTTACGTAAATACAATGTAACAGAAATGGTTTTGTTTGTAATCTTAATTTTATTTTGACTTGCAAAGTTTATTACTCTTTAATGTAAAATTATTAAAAAATGTTCAAATAAAAACCAAATCCCAAAATTGTAACTTGATAATTTTAAAGGGAGTACTAAAAATATCTCAAAAAAATATTTTACGAAAATTCTTATTAAAACCGCCTGAAATTAACTTAATTCAATATTATTAAAATGCGAATTCATAAAACAGAATTCTATTAAACCGTCCAAGTATTTCCAACCCGAACCTAACCTAACTTTTATAACTATCTTATCTTATCTTATCTTATCTTATGTATCCGTCTCGTTTTCCTTTTCATCGTACCCTTGTCGTCCGCAATTTTTATTTGTGCAAATATAAGGATTATTTGAAGTTGGACAGTTGAAATGTTCAAATTGTTTTTTCCAAGTCATCGATTTGTTTCCAACCGGTTCAAACATATTGTTCCATAGAGCATTTGTTGCTAAAATAGATAAAAAATAAATAGATAAAAAATAAATAGATAAAAAATAAATATTGACGTAAATAGCATGACATATAGATAGATTAGCAAAGACATAATGTATATTTTATGAGATAAACAAATAGTAACATATAGTGATGAATATTGTATAAATAGTGTCATTAGAGACAATAAACGAGTGATTAGAGATAAGGGGTGTTAATAAATTTTTTATTACAATATAATCGTTTCTTTCGTTTTCTACTCGTCGAGACCTTTTAAACGATACCCCACATGCCATAAAACGTACTATCTGAAATTATTGAAGTAAAACTTTTTTAAGCTCGTTTACTACAAAAAAGCGTATATTTTATGGATAAAACACATAGTTTTAGTATTAGTTACAAAAGTTTTACTCTACATATATTTGAGAAAATAAATTTTAACATTCTAAGTTTTTGAGCAATAAAATATGGTTAAGCATATAACGTCTTTTTGCAATAAAATATTTTTTTTTTAAAAAATCGTTTTCTACTTGTTGAGACCTTTTAAACGATACCCCATATGCCATAGCAAATAATCTGAAATTTTTGAAGTAAAACTTCTTTAGCCTCCTTTGCTACAAATTCGTAAAAAGTGTGTATTTTGTGGATAAATCTCATAGTTAATTTTAGTATTCACTAGAAATATTTTACACCTCAAAAAAAAATTAATACATTTTTACATTCTAATATTTTTTGCAATATAATATGTATATATATATATATATATATATATATATATATATATACTATATATCTCTTGCAGTTTTTATTATAATATTATAAAGATATAATAATTTTTTTCGTTTTTCACTCGTCGAGACCTTTTAAACGATACCCCACATGCCATTAAAGATACAATCTACATGTTATTGAAGTAAAACTTCTTTAAGCTCGTTTACTACAAATTCATAAAAAGCGTATATTTTATGAACAAACCATACAGTTTATTTCAGTATTCTGATTCTATTCAAAAAGACCTTTCAAATGATACCCCATATGCCATAAAAAATACTGCCTAAAATTTTTGTAGTAAAACTTCTTTAGACTTCCCAACTACAAATTTGTAAAATGCGTATATTTTATGAACAAACCATACAGTTGATTTCAGTATTCCGATTCTATTCAAAAATACCTTTCAAACGATACACAACATGCCATAAAAACACAATCAAACATTTTTGAAGTAAAACTCGTTTAGACTCCTTTGCTACAAATTTGAAAAAAGTGTGTATTTTGTGAGCAAATCACATAGTTAATTTTAGTATTAGTTACAAATAATATTTTTTTTGAAAAAATCGTCTTCTACTCGGCGAGACTTTTTAAACGATATCCCACATGCTATAAAAGATACTATATGAAATTTTTGAAGTAAAACTTCTTTAGACTCCTCTGCTACAAATTCGTAAAAAGTGTATATTATGTGGACAAACAACTTAGTATATTTCAGTATTCGGATTCTATTCTAAAAGACCTTTTAAACGATACCCAACATGCAATAAAAGACACAATCTGAAATTTTTTAAGTAAAACTTCTTTAGACTCATCCGTTACAAATTCGTAAAATACGTATATTTTGTGAAAAAACCACGTAGTTTATTCCAGCATTCGGATTCTATTCTAAAAGCCTTTTCAAGCAATACCCAACATGCCTTAAAAATACTATTGAATTTTTTGAAGTAAAACTTCTTTAAGCTCGCTTAGTAAAAATGTATTAAAAGATAATTATGTTGACGTAAATAGCACGACATATGTATGGAATAACAAAAGCATAATTTTTATCGTGTGAGAGAGACAAATACAGACATATAGTGATGAATATTGTAGAGAGTGTCATTAGAAACAATAAACGAGTGATTCGAGATGAGGTGTGTTAATAAAGTTTTTATTATAATATAATCGTTTTTTTCGTTTTTCTACTCATAGAGACCTTTTAAACAATACCCAACATGCCATAATAGATACAATCTCAAATTTTTTAAGTAAAACTTCTTTAATCTCGCTTAATACAAATGCATTAAAAGATAATTATGTTGACGTAAATAGCACGGCATATGTATGAAATAACAAAATAATAATGTATATTATGTGAGAGAGACAAATAGTGACATATAGAGATGAATATTGTATAGAGAGTGTCATTAGAGACAATAAACGAGTTTCCCTTACCCCTTGAGTATCCCTTCTGGCTGAAGTGGAAGCAATCAGCGCTGAGCAGCGTAAAATCAGTACTTTTACCATCATCGCTCAAAGGGAACACCAGTTTTTCAGGAAAAGTTTGCACGACGACTCCGAAATCCTCGGTATCGGCATACTCCGGTAAATCGGCGACCTCCTTGTCAATTTTCTGCCATTGCCTAATAACTTCTTCATAATGAGCCCTTTTGTGCGAATGCATGGCCCCGAAGAAACAAGGACACTCCATCAGATGGGTCAGACGACAGGATAAGGGACGGTTGAGGAATTTGGTCAACAGGGCAACGTCTGAAAAATACGATTAAAACTCTAAAATCGTGTCTTGAGGCAAATTGCTGGAACTTCCCGTACCGTAATGAAATATTCGAGAAATTTTAAACGTTAATAACAAATACTGTAAGGTTAATTATTTTTGCTATCTTGTTATATCTGAACAAATCAAATGTAAACTGTCTTAAGGCAATTAAGGCATCGTGCCTTCAGGGAAATTGCTGGAACTTTCCGTACCAAAAATTATTATTTTTTTAAAAACAATTAACATTTTCGAAAAAAAATTACTTCGAAAAATTTAGATTTTTGCGAAACTATAAATTTGACAAAAAATTACTTCTTAAAAAAAAATTTTTTTTAAACAAATTTTTTTTGAAAAGAAAAATGTTTTATTCATTTTGACATATTTTGGAAATTCTGAACTTTCTTTCAAAGCAATCGTATTGCTTTAACTGCATAGAGACAAAATGTCAAAGCGCGTAAGCGCCACGTCGCCGTCTAACGAATAAATATTGGTACGGAACCCATAGGAATGCAAATAAAATTTATACTTATTGTTAAAATCTCCATAAAATATCTGATAATTTGATGTGCATATGTCTAATGATCATTTTTAACCGCCGAATGGCATTTTTTTTTACTTTTTCCACTAGATTTCCCAAACCGCTAGACCTGCCTTCCCAAAAATTTTAACAGTTCTTCATCTTGTTAATACAAGTAAAATGTTTTTTGAATTTTTAAAAACGAAAGCTTCGTTCTCTTAAAAACTGAGTTACCGTTTTCGGCACTTTTTGCCCCGTATCTTCGGAACGGCTAGACCTGCCTCCACCAAAAACTAATCATCACGTCTCCTTATCAATACGAATCGAATGTTTTTTGAATTATTCAAATCGGTTGATCGGTGTTCCCGAAATCGTCGACGCAAATTTGTATCCGCACACACACACATGCCAAAATGTTCAGAAGGTTTTGAAACGTAAAGATATATAAAAATTTTTATTTTCGATTTTTTTGCGATTACTATAACTTGCCTACGGGAAGTTAATAAAGGGACTCTACTGACGAGCAAATTAAAATGTAGACAGAAGAAACGACTTTACTGATGAGCATATTGAAATGTCAATACAAATAGAGACTTTACTGACGAGAATATTAAAAAAAGGGACTCTACTCACAAGCAAATTAGTGTCAATAAAATAAAGGAACTCTACTGATGAGCAAATTTAAAATGTCAATGCAAAAGGAATTCTACTGACGAACCAAATTTAAAATGTCAGTGCAAAGGAATTCTACTAAAATTACTGATTTCAGTACAAAAGGGACTCTACTGATGTACAAATTAAAATGTTAATGGCAAAAAGAGACTCTACTGACGAGCAAATTAAAATTCAAATTCTAATACAAAAAGACTTTACTGACGAGGAAATTAAAATCTCAATACATTTGCAAATAATCTTGTGCGACATTCTCACTTATACTTAGCTTGGTGGCATTTTCACATTTTTCAATAGTTTTCTCACAAAATTGGAAAAGTGCTCCAGTACATAAACAGTCTAAACGCACTCGGGTAAACATTTGCACCAGAGTGGCGCTTAGACTGGGTAATTTTTTGAATTTTCAATCCAAATTTCAAAAATATTTTATAGGAAAATAAAAAAAAATGTAATATTTGTTTATCTTTAGGAGTAGCACAAGGTTTGTCGTTGAGACTTACTTGGCGAGAGTACAATTTGTACCAGAGTCCTTGGCATTTGTTTCAACGTCCTCAAAACAGCATGCAGATGTTCCCTGTGCTGCTCCAGAATGTCTTCAGGTTTATCCTTGTAGCAAATGTCCAGGCAAAAGTCATTTGGACCGATCATCATAGTTATCAACTAAATAAAACAACACAAATTATAAAAATCCATATTTTGCAGTTTATTATTGAAGTAAAACTTCTTTAGGCGCGACATGGGTTAGCAGTATAATTCGTGAGTTAATAAAAATGTCAGGATCGGAAGAATATTTTATCCCGTCCCTCATAAATAATTGTAGTGCAAATGATCGCAAATAATGAAACAAAGAATATGTAAGTTTATTGTAAGAAATGTAAGTTTATTGAAGTAATTTGTATTATTCGAGTTTTTCGAGGTTACTATATACCTTTAAAGTTATTACTAAAATGGAAAATATTTTTACAAAAGACAGATACTGCAGTTGCTCAAAGAATGAAACTGTATCGCCAGCGAAATAGTCAAAACAAACAAGCAGTCAATAATAAAGTTCTACAAACACAATTACATGATAAGTGAAATTGTGGAAACAATATTTCGTCATTGGAAATTTAACGTAAGTTTACATGTTTCTCTTTTATTGTGGCTTTGAAGACTAATTTTAATTTATTTTAATAGTAATTTATTCTGTATATAATGTGACAAGAACTGATCTTTTGCAAGAGTCAAATGAAGTATTTGAACTTCTATATAAAGACTTCAATTTGTTTAGAAATGCACGAAAATTGTTTGAAAAACAATTTACAAATGATAGCTTTGGCTATGTATGCTTTGTGTGTGATCGACTTTGGTTTCAAAGTGACTTAAAAATATCAAATGGTGCTCAAAAACGAATTCTTGATAATGGTTTTCTGAATATTGATTCAAATAATCGGATTGGATGTCAAACTTGTCGAAAGGCATTAAATTCGGGTAAAATTCCCACTTTGTGTAAATTTAACGGGTTTGTATTTCCACTTATACCAAATTATCTACCTAAACTAGATACTGTATCTGAAAAGTTAATTTCACCTAGCTTGTGTTTCATGCAAATTAGACGATTGCGACATGCAAATGGACAATTAGGAATATTCGGCCAAATTATAAATGTGCCTGTTGACGTTAATAATATGGTTAATTTATTACCTCGTAATATTGATGATGATCATTGCATTAACGTTCACATAAAAAAGAAAATGATTCATAGATCGAGCTATGTGCAGGGCTTGATAAATAAAACAAATATAAAAGTATGGCTTCAATTTTTTAGGCAAAACGGATATTACAGTTGTTCAAGGAATGAGATTGTATCGTCAGCGAAAAAGTAAAAAAATACAAACAGTAAATGAATGTATGTTAATTTTAATTACATGAAGTTCTTCAAACACAATTGTTACAGGATGAATTAATTTGCAAAAACAATATTTGTTTTGGCGTTGTTTAACATAATCCACTGTGTGAACGAATATTATGGAACTTATTAATCAGCAATTATTTTAAACCGGTCATGTCATATTTCAAGTATGACTTTGATTACATTATAGTTTGTAAATATTATACATATTTTTAATGCAACCTAACATATATTAGGTTGTCAAATATCTCCCTTCCGCTTTTTTGCTATTGGTTTATAATACAAAAAGGCGGAAGAGAGATATTTGACCACCTGTCATAATTTATAATTTATCATTATATAAATGTGTATAATGATTGACGGCACTAATAAATGTGTGCATCACGATTGTTACCATAATACTAATAAACATTATTCAAAATTGTTATATAATGTATTTATTTTTACTGAACTTAAATTTGCTACTTTGTACAGTAGCAAATAAGTTTTACTCTTTTTTTTATCAACGTACCTTCCAATGTTTAGCAAAATTAACCCGCGGATCGCTAGAAATCCTCTTCACCAACATCTTGGCCATATAAGGCGTGTCTCTGGACATGGCACCAGCTTCTGCAACGTTGAACTGTGATTCCCTAAAATAAAATAAATAAAAATTTACCAGATTGTACTGCTGTACCGATTGTTATTAACCTATAATTATTTATTATTTACTTGTGAAACGTGAAGGAATCCGCCAAAGAATATCCGACCAGCTTCGGATTGTACTCCTTCAGCATGTTGGGTAATGTCAGATATTCTCTCCAGGTGCCTTGGCCACCTATTGACCAAGAAATTCCACGATTTTCGGTGAAAACCTGGGAAAAAATGTGGATTGAAAAATTGTATACTATAAAATATACATATACTATGGTGACAATTACTAAAACTGCTAACTTTTCTCACAAAATTTTAGGATATTTAGGTAATCTCTAAAAAAGTACCGGGACGAAACTTTAATACAATACGTCTAGAAAATTAAATTAAGATTTTGAGGAGCTCCTCAGGACAAACCGTTGGTACAAATGATGTAAAAATTTAGTATGTGCTACCCTGATACATATATTATGATGACAATCACTAAAACTGATAACTTTACCCACAAAACTTTAGGATATTTAGGTAATCTCTAAAAAAGTACCGGGACGAAACTATAATACAATACGTCTAGAAAATTAAGTTAAGATTTTGATGAGCTCCTCAGGACAAACCGTTGGTACAAATGATGTAAAAATTTAGTATGTTCTACCCTGATATATATGGTATGATGACTATTACTAAAATTGATAACTTTTCTCACAAAATTTTTGGATATTTAAGTAATCTCTAAAAAAGTACCGGGACAAAACTATAATACAATACGTCTAGAAAATTAAGTTAAGATTTTGAGGAGCTCCTCAGGACAAACCGTTGGTACAAATGATGTAAAAACTTAGTATGTTCTACCCTGATACATATACTATGATGACAATTACTAAAACTGCTAACTTTTCTCACAAAATTTTAGGATATTTAAGTAATCTCTAAAAAAGTACCGGGACGAAACTATAATACAATACGTCTAGAATATTAAGTTAAGATTTTGAGAAGCTCTTCAGGACAAACCGTTGGTACAAATGATGTATAAATTTAGTATACTGTACACTGATACATATACTATGGGGACAATTACTAAAACTGATAACTTTTCTCACAAAATTTTGAGATATTTAAGTAATTTCTCAAAAAGTACCGGGACAAAACTGTAATACAATACGTCTAGAAAATTAAGTTAAGATTTTGAGGAGCTCCTCAGGACAAACCGTTGGTACAAATGATGTAAAAACTTAGTATGTTCTACCCTGATATATATGGTATGATGACTATTACAAAAACAGATAACTTTTCCCACAAAATTTTAGGATATTTAGGTAATCTCTAAAAAAGTACCGGGACGAAACTATAATACAATACGTCTAGAAAATAAAATTAAGATTTTGAGGAGCTCCTCAGGAGAAACCGAAGAGGGTAAGTGTGAGTCATTTGCTATAACTTGGCCTATTGGCAAGTTGCTAGAAGATTTTTTGGCTAACTATAAAATATGACGACTCTGGATAATGATGGCAAAACATATCGAAAATTATAAAAATAAATGGAAGAAAAGATTATATTTTGTTTTCTAGACGTTTCTCGTCATTCTGTAACGTTTCATCCTCAAAATTACAAATTTTCATAATCTATTGACCAGAATATTCCACGATTTTTGGTAAAAATGTGGATTGATAAAGACGTAAAGTATGAATAGTTTGCTATAACTTGGCCTATTGGCAAGTTGCTAAAAAATTTTTTGGCTAACTATAAAACATGATGACTCTGGATAATAATGGCATTGAATATGCAAAAATTCTTAAAGTTCAGAAAACAAGTTGTCTAAAAATCTGGATTGCTATTTTGTGTCTTCTAAATTATTTGACACTCAAAATTGAAAAATTTCCACCAACCTATTGACCAGGATATTTCATGATTAGCAGCAAAATCTTGAGAAAAAATAATGTGGGTTGAAAGAGAAGAAATTGAATCGTTTGTTACAACTTGGCCTATTGGCAAGTTGCTAGAAGAATTTTTGGCTAACTATAAAATGTGATGACTTTGAATGACAAATTCAAAATATACAGAAATTGTTAAAATTGATAAAAAACGATTATGTTTGTTTTCTAGACGTTTCTTGTCATTCTGTAACGCTTGATCCTCAAAATTACAATTGTTCACTATCTATTGGCCAGGATATTTCATGATTCGCAGCAAAATCTTGAACAAAAATAATGTGGTTTGATAAAGATAAGTAATATGAGTCATTTGTTATAACTTGGCCTATTGGCAAGTTGCTAGAATATTTTGGCAAGCTTTAAAATATGATGACTCTGTCTGATGATGGCAAAAAATACGCAAAATTGTAGAAGTTTATAAAAGAAGATCTCCGAAAATCTGGTTGGCTATTTTGTGTCTTTTAAATTATTTGACACTCAAAACTGAAAATTTCCTTTAATTACTGACCAGGATATTTCATGATTCGTAGCAAAATCTTGAACAAAAATAATGTGGTTTGATAAAGAGAGGTAATATAAATTGTTTGTTACAACTTGGCCTATTGGCAAGTTGCTAGAACTATTTTTGGCTAGCTTTAAAAAATGATTACTTTATCCATATATACAAAAAAATTATATAAGTTAATAAGAAAACGTTTATGGTTTTACTAGAATTTCTGATTTAATAGTGTAATGTTTTTTAAAGTCATTCTGAATAGTTCAATCTTAAATTCTAAATTTCCTTCACTTATTGACCAGGATATTTCACGATTTGCAGCAAAATCTTGGGAAAAAATTATATGGACTGTTGACAAGAAAAAGTACAAATTATTTGTTACAACTTGGCCTATTGGTAAGTTGCTAGAACGATTTTTGGCTAGCTTTAAAAAATGATTACTTTGTCTAATGATTCTAACACACAAAAAAAAATTATAAAAGTCAACAAAAAAATGAGATTTAAATTTTCATGTTTCTTGGATGTTTCAAGTCATTCTGAATCGTTCAACCAGGATATTTTATGCTTAAGGGTAAAAAAAAACTGACACAATAGAAAGTGGACTGATGAAGAAAGGTATAATGAATCGTTTGCCATAATTTATAGTTGCTACAAAAATTTTTGCTTTACCTGAAATATATTAGTAGCTGCTCCGCCATTACCAGCTGTCAAGGAATCTCCTGAATAATAAAACATTTGTTTACAAATCTAGTTTAATTAAATAATTTGCACTATTTTTATTATTTTTTATTACCTATTGCTCCAATCACATCGATATCACCAGGTTTCAATTTATGAACGCTTTTTGGAGGTTCAGAACTCCTACCATTTTCCAAAGAACAAGGAAAAGCCATCTCGTCCATCGACGGTTGTAATTTCTGGAAACCAGAAATTAGTAAATAAAACTGTAAAAATTTACTGTATAATTTTAGCTTACGTTTAAGTTCCTGTAAATCCTCAAATTTCTGGGACTATTCGATGACCTTCCTGCCAAATTCAGGCCCAACATTTTTAGGAACCGAAATTGGTCCCGAAACATCTCGGAATCTGCAGGACTGACTTGGCCTTCAATGTTTTCCAGTGATATCCAAAGAATCAGGAACAGGGGTATAAATTTTGACTTTGGTGCCATTTTAACTTGAGGTAAAAAGAGATAAGCGACTTGAATAACATATAATTATTGATTTAATTTTATATAAAAAATAAGTATAAAATAATAATTTATGAATATACAAGTTATGAATTAGCAATAGATATAAATATACAAGTTATTAATATTATAAAACTGTATAAAGCTAATTGGCGTATAAATAAATAAATAAATAAATAATTTAAAATTCACATGATTTTGTTAAAAAAATATGTTAAATTTAGTATAACAAAATAGTAGTACTAACATATAAAATAATAAATAAATAAAAATTAATTTGGAAGAAAAAAATAAATATATTGTCACTAATAAAGAGAATTATATTTGATGTTTTCTGAAGATTATTATAAATAAATTATTTATAATTAAAGTTTATATATATAAATATATAACTAATTAGTATCAATTATTAATTTAATGATCATTTAATTAACAGAAAGTGTGTGGTTAACGTTTTTTTAATTGTACAAAAGTTATTTTTAACTAATTGAATTTTGGAATTTTTAAATAAATAAATATGTAAAAATGAGATAAAAATAGATAAGCGACTTGAATTACATATAATTATTAATTTAATTTTATATAAAAAATAAGTATAAAATAATAATTTAAATGGTACGTGATTTTGTTAAAAAATTTAAATAATATTAGTACATATTAATAAAGTAATAAATAAAAATTAATTTGGAAGAAAAAAATAAATTTGTTGTCATTAATAAAAGGAATTATATATTTGATATTATTTTGAAGTTTGAAGAAATGAATTATTTATAATTAAAGTTTATAA